ATTATCCAAAGTGATAACGTTTTCAAGCTGAGTGTCACCGTGCACACCTGTAATTCCAGCACTCCAGAGGCCGAGGCAGGATTGCCTGGAGTGCGAGGCCAGCCTGAACAACACAGTGACAAGAAAAAAAAAAAAGTGATGCACTTTTGAGAGTGAAAGGGGCTTTGTTAATAATTAAACCAGGACAGAGCACCCGCTACCCGGGCATGTATTTGAATCCTGGCCTCTTGTTGCTGCCTGGTATCCCACAGTGAACACCTAACATGTTTTGCTTATCCATTCTCCAGTGACACACAGCTAGGTTGACTCTAACGTCCCACTTTCACACCAGCATGCACATGCATGAACAAACCCAGGCACACACAAGTGTGCATGCTGCAGCAAAATCCTGGACACATCGCCCATAGACCTGTGTGCGAATTTCTCTAGGATTGCAGAGCTGAAAACAACACATTAGGCATATCTCCACATAACCAGTTTTGGGTTCTAAAGTGATATTCCCAAATGAGAATCCAAGCCCAGATACCAGGAGTTATGGGGGCAGAGAAAGTTTGATCTGTTTCTTTTCTCTTTCAAAACTCCTGTGACACCACAGGCTCCACCCCACTAGAAATGGAGACATGCAGGGCTATGGGGTACAAAAAAGAATGTGAGGTGGAAGAAGCAATACACACCCATTTGCATAGAAATATTCATTGAGTACATATATTTACAGGCTGTGGCCTTAACAAATAAGAATAGCAAACATATATATAGGGCTTTACTACTTTCCAGCTCATTCTCTCACAAGGATCAAAAACATTATGTCACTAGATATGGTGGCACATGCCTGTAATCTCAGCACTTGGGAGGCTGAGGCAGGAGGATCCCTGTGAGTTCAGGGCCAACCTGGGCTACATAGTGAGACCTTGTCTCAAAAACTCAAAAGATTAAAAAACAAAACAAAACTTGATGTCAGCTGGGCCCTTAACAACCAGACTTTTGACAGCTCCACATGCAAGTGAGACAACCAAGTGAAATTTCTCTGGGGTAGGAGTAGGCTCTCCCATATCTACATTTCATAAACCAAGTGTGCCTGTTCATGGCCTGGAGGCACAGCAGGTCTCAGGTCCCATGTGTCTAGGTTCTGTATGCCACTAGTCTGGAGGTTTCACCTTGAGCCACAAGGTCCTACCGAACTGCAATGCTGTTATTACACAAGAGGGTCTGTCCTGCTGCGATGACATTATTCAACAACAAGTCCTTACGTTGCCTTAGTCTGAACATTTTCCTTATAGCGTTTTAAATGTTTGATCCAGTCCCAAACAAGAGTGATACATACATTTAGTTTTCACTTCTCTTCAGTCTCTTCTTTAATCCAGAATACTCTCCATCTTTTCTTTTCTTTTTTTTTAATGGAACTGGATTTTTGTTTGATTGAAGTTTTGTGTGTCTTCCATGGCAGTATTTTTTTTTTTTGTCTTTTTTGAAACAGGGTCTCACTATGCAGTTCAGGTTGGCCTTGAACTCACTATATAGCACAGGCTGGCCTCAAACGCATGGCAATCCTCCTGCCTCAGCCTCCCAAGTGCTGTGATCACAGGCATGTACCACCATGCCTGACCAGCAGTAATATTTTTTTGAAAGAACTGGCTACTTTTTTCTATAATATACCAAAATCTCTGGATTTTTTCTGATTTTCCCAGATCTTTTCTCATGAAGAGATGTAGGTTAGGGCCGGGGATTTAGCTCAGTGGTTCCGCCGCCTGCCTTGCAAGCGCAAGGACCTGAGTTCAATCCCTGGTACCAAAAAAAAAAAAAAAAGAGAGAGAGAGAGAGATGCAGGTTAAACATGTTCGGTGTGTTCGGCACTACACAGGTGATGTGTTCTCCACAGTGCACTGCTTCTTGTCATTTATCCCATTATCAGTGATACTAAATTTGATCAGTTGGTTAAGGGAGTGATTACGCAGTCATTCCACTGTAAGGAAACTTTTTTCTTTTTGTAATTAGTAAGTCATCTGGGGAGTAACCCAGAGGTGGGATTGAACCCAGGGGTGTCCTACCACTGATCTACACCCCTAGCCCTTTTTACTTTTTTATGTTGAGACATGGTCTTTCCAAGTCACCTAAGCTGGTCTCCAACTTGTGATCCTCCTGCCTCAGCCTCCCAACTAGCTAGGATTATAGGCATATACTACCATGTCTGACTTCTATGGGGTAATTTTTAAGGCTATGTGAATATTCTGTCTTTCAAGAAGCTTCCTCCCAGTGGTTTTAGTATCTATTGATGACCCTTCTTCGTATCATAGACATTATGTAAATGCTTAATTGTGCATGGAAGTATGTGTGTGAACATACATGAGAAAAGTTAGAAAGTCTGAAATCCATTCATGGTGACTGAGCACAGTAATAAGTAGAAAATGGGGTGAGAGCTGCATCTTTGGCACAAATGTTCTGTAAGTTAATTACCCAAGACTCTAAACAGGGTCCATTCTTGACTTCAGCTCTAATCTCCCGTGAGAAAGTAATCGCATACAGGAGACTTCCCTTGGGGTGTGCTACATCTGACTGCTTCATCCCTCTGTCTCCAAGGAAAATCACAAGATACACACCCAATCCTCTACACAGAAGCTTTGACAGGAGCTCTCTGATCTTGGGTCTATCCCTCAGTTCTCAGGTTACATTCACAGTCTCCTACCCTAGAATGTGAGGGGACACTCCAGATCACCCCTAGGCCAAATCTGGTGCTCAGCCCAATAGGAAATAGAAGTGTCTCCAACTTCTAGTCCTGAGCTCTCAACTAGGAGACTCTGGGCCATGAGGCCTGGTTCCTGGGCAAATGCTGTGGATTGAATTATTGATGGATGAATTAATGAGACACACTTCTTTCACTCATCCCCTTGGGATGAGAGCACTTCCTTAGCATGTGGGAGGCTCTGGGTACAATTCCCAGAAGAAAGAAAGAAAGAAAGAGACAAGACTACATCATCTGGCCCAGGACTATATTACTCTCTCTGATCCAAGTTCTTAGTCAACTGGAAAAAGCAGAAGCTTTGAAGGCCCACAGATCCAAGTTTAAGGCTGTCCTCTACCACTACTGGCATTGTGACCTGGGCGGGCAACTTTGCCTCTCTGAGGCTATTTTCTGTCTGTAAAATTGAACGAACTATCCCTTATAGGTGTTATTGGAATCAAAGACAATATGCATAAAGTTACTGGTACAGTGTCTGGCATGTACTAGCTTCCAAGCCTAGACTAGGCTATGTGATTTTTACACCATCACAATGCTTATCAGTTCTAAATTCAGTCACTTTCCTGCTCTGTGACAATAAATCTAAGCTTTATAAATGTCTCTTCTTTGCCCACTGACTCGTGTAAAGCCTTTTCAGTAGAGTGTATTGGAGTAACACTGGAGAACAGTGGATCCACCCATCCAAGCTCCAGATTAGCTCATAGTCAAGTCCCTGAAGGGCATGCTTTTGGCTTCAATTTCTTTATCCCTAGGACACAGTACCAGACACACACAACTTAAAGGAGGAGAGGTTTATTTTGGCTCACGATTTCAGTCCATAATCTGCTGGCTTCAAGGCAAGACAGCTTGGCAAAGGGGGACAGGAGAGGAAAGCTGCTCACCTCACAGCAGCCAGGAAGCAGAAAGAGAAGAGAGGAGCCAGGAAGTGTGACACACCCTACCTGCTCATGCCTGCAGTGACTTGCCTTTTCCAACCAAGTCCCACCTTCCACCAGCAAGTCAAATATACCAGCCCCATAGTCCACTCACCTTTCAAAAGCCCCATCTTTGAGCCTACAGGCCTTTGGGGGGGGGGTGTCCAGGTACAAGCTGTGACACCACTGCTTAGTCCAAAGTTTCTTGAAGGTGAGGTACCTGCAAGACGCAGCTGTCACCATTTTGCCTATCACAATATGTGCTTTTACCACAAGCCTTAATTAGGGAGGCAATTGCATAACCAGGGGCCTCAGGAATTTCCTATTTGTTTCAGACAGTTGTTTTGAAAATCAAATGAGATATTCATTCATTCATCCATTGAATAAATACTCATTGAGTTCTCTATATTCCAGATGCTACTCCCTTTTTTGCTTTATTTTTCTCTAAATTATATACTCCAATTAACATCCTATATAACACATAACTATAGATCGATATCATTATATTATAAAGATGTTATATTCTAGACTTTGTATTTTATATTTTGTTCCAGGTGCTTGAAAGTCAGAAGAGAATATTAAAGACTTCATGAAGTGCACAATACAGTAGAGAAGACAGCTGTTAAATGAATAATTACCAGAAATTTAAGAACATATACACGGTGCCCCTGCATAACACCCTGGACAATCTTCACATTACTCTTTTTCTAAATACATGCTGTGGTCAACCAGGCCCCATAACACTCCTTAAGATGTTTTGGCTTTATTTTTCTCTAAGTTATTTATCTTCGTTAACATTCATTGAAATACATACTATATACTATGTCAATGTTTCAGAGAGGTTTTATTTTAGGCTTTACATTTTATTTATTTTGCCCTTTTTTGTATAGTCTTCCCATTCGTCTCCTCTCCCACATTAAAATGCAACCTGCTTGAGGGCAAAGATGAACTTTTGCCTGCATTGTTCACATCAGTGTCCCCAGACCTAGTTCCTGGTATAGAGTGGGACTCCCAATAAATAAAGTGTGAATGAACATTTGAACATTGGTTAAATGCATGGGTGAATAAACAAATTCTTAGTTGGAGGACGACAATTTGTGGAGAGTTGGGCAACGTGAGAGTGATAAAACCGACTCAGGCGTCCCTCAGGATGGACGCCTGCCTCTCAGTCCAAAGCTCCTTTCAGGACCACAGGCACG